CTTTGTTTTATTCACTACAAACATCTCCAATGTCAAAGCCAATGGTTGAATTTGCTATTTTATCATAATAAATTATCTTTAAGTATATATCTTTTAATGTATCTTCCTTTTGTGATATATCTATATTTATATATCTATTTATTATTTTTCCCTTACCTATGTTTTTAATATTTTTCCTTAGACATATATTTTACTGTCTAAATAGATAAAAATTAGGCATATCAGCTTTTTCCCATTTTGCATATAAGCAATATACTTTGTCACATTCACTGTCCTCACCTCACCACTCCCTAAGATTAGTTTTTTGTTAAAAACTGGTTTATATAATTTTCTTAGAAATTATCCCAAAGGCCAATGAAAATTAAAAGAAAATCCCAGACAGGTGATCTTTCATAATAGGCCAACGCTGAACCAAGTCTTCATTTCTAATCTTTGAACATAACGATTTTTCTGTGCCATTTTCTCAAATTTGTTACAACAAAATTTGTCATGCAACAAAATTGTCATTGTCCAAGTGAATCATGTCAATATAGGTAAATAGAATCTTTTTCTTTTTAGATAATAGAGAGAGAAATTCATTATGTACTGTTTGTACTGAGGCTTCCCAGGTATCTCAGGCTGTTTTCTGTCCCTATCACCTCTCTCCAGTGGGGTCCCAAACAACTTCTCAAGCAAGAGACAGAGGACATTAGTCTTCTCTCCTGGCTTTGTTTTCTATATTCCCTCCTTCTCGCCTTCTAGGCCATCCCCCTCTGCCACCCAAAAAAGATATCCATAATCAGTTAAAGCAAGGTGAAAAATGTCAGCTGTACAAACAGCCTCACAGACTTTAAAATCCAGCTGGGCCTTGACTAGAACACTTTGCTACAGCTACTTAACAGGTGGAAGAGGTATTTTTCCTAGAAACATGACGACATTGCATATATACATATGAAAACAGGATCCCTAAATGTAAGAAATAGTTGCCTAGAGAGTTGACAGCCACCCATTTTGAGTGTAAGGTAAGGAATGGAGAAGAAATGCAGTCAGAGCAAACTTGACTTGCCTTGGGATGACGATGGTTTGAATAGTACTTACCTCTCAAATGTGAAGAAAGCTGGTCATTTTCGAGATCCCAGCTGGATTAAATAGTGCACCACTTCATTTATCCATCAGCAAGATTAGAAAGAAATCTGTTCATAGTTGTTAAAGTATAGATATTCGGGAATATATTTCTTAAGACAATTCCCACATAAAGGACAGAAGTTAGCAATAGCAAAGTCGGATGAGGTGACATTCCAGTATTTAAACTAACAAGCTAAGGACAAACCTTCATGAAATATAGTCCCCTAACCAGGCAGAATCCTATCTGCCCCAATAGAGTAAGACCAACCTTTCTCTTATTTCTTCCCCTTAATTCTCCACCTGCTCCTAAATTTCTGCCTCATGGCTCTATCATAATGCCTGAGATTCCACTATTGCATTCATTTTGGGACGGGCTAAGGTTTATTTGGTTTTCAAAGCCCAGTCACTACTACACACCTATTTTATCAAGTTCCCACTTGCCTTTTAGTCTTAGCTTTTGTGTGGCCTCCTCTCTGAATCCCAACCCCCATCCTGTCCCGGGGGCAATGGCAGCCACTCTGACCGGGCTTTCACGGCCCTGCCCTGCCTGTCTGAGTTCCCACCTGTCTGAGTTCCCGCCATACGACCAGCTCCTTGTAAAGTATCTTAGAAGGTTTGATGGAACAGCAAAAGAGACAGCAGGATAAGGAGACCCAAGGGTACTGGTGAGGGTAAGTAGCAATTGTAAATAAACTGATTGGGGTAGGCTTAATCGAGAAGGTGATATTTGAACAAAGACTTGAAGAGGAAACAACCAGTGCAAAGGCCCTCAGGCAGGCATATGTATGAGTTGTTTAAGGGTCATTAAGCAGGTCAATGTGCATGAAAAGAGTGAGCAACAGGACTTAGTAGAAGGTGAGGTCCTATTATTAGTGATGGTATTATGGACTGAATGTTTGTATCCTCCCAATACTCAAATGTTGAAGCCCTAACCCTCAATGCTTATTTGGAAATAAGACCTTTATGGAAGTAATTAGGGTTAATGAAGACATAAGGGTAGGACCCTGATCCAATACGATTAGTGTCTTTATAAGAAAAAACATCAGAGAGCTCATTTTCTCTCTCTCTCTCTGCCATGTGAGCGCACAGTGTGAAGGTGTTTGTCTGTAAGCCAGGAAGAAAGTTCTCATCAGAAGCTGCCCATGCTGGCACTCTGCTCCAGCCTCCAGAATGGTGAGAAAAGCCATGTCTGTTGTTTAAGCCACCTAGTCTATGTTCTGTTATAGAAGCTCAAGCAGACTGAACCTGGGGGGAGAGGTGGGGGGAGTGGCGTAGGGCAGACATAAGGTTTTGTTGGCTATTCTAAGAACTAGGGCTTTTCTGTGAGTGAGTGAGTGAGTGAGTGAGTGAGATGGGAAGTGATCGAAAGGAAAGTTTTGAATAAAAGAATGACATTATCTGATCTATGTCTTAACAACACCACTATGGCTACTATTTTGAAACAAATTGTGGAGGTGAGGATGACAAGTATAGAAGCAAACATCAATTTGGAGATGATGGCATCCCCGGGTGAGAAAGAAGCCTGGCTCAAACCAGGGAGGAGTAGCTGAGGTGGTGAGAAGTGATCAGAATCTAGATATACTTTGCAGGTAGATTCAACAGGGTTTTCTGACAAAAATAATACCTAATGCATGGGTAAAAAAAAGTCAAGAAAAACCTCAAGTTTTTTGGCCTGGACCATTGGGAGAATAAAGTTGCCATGCACTATAATGGAGACTTGCAGGTAGACCAGATTGTTGGGAATGACCAAGAGTTCCATTTTGGATATATTAACTGTGAAATGGCTGTTAGAGACTGAAGTGGTGATGTTCAGTAGGAAGATGCACAAGTCTGCAGTTCAGGAGAGGGTTCAAGGGTGAATTTTGAAGTATGGGCATCATTGGCACATAGATGACATTTAGTCATAAGACTGGATGAAATCACTAGGATCTGTTCTTTTCGCCTTCTCTACTTGGAAATTCTTTTTCTTCTTCCCTACTCATTGTACTGCTTCTACATTTTCTAGGGTCAGAACAAAGGTAGTGGGATACAGAGGAAGACAGCAATTTTTTTAAAGGGCTTTTTTTTTTAAAGATTTTATTTATTTGAGATATTGAGAGAGAGAGAGCAAGAGAGCACAAGCAGCAGGGAGGGGCAGAGGGAGAGAGAGAAGCAGGATCCCCACTGAGCAGGGAGCCTGATGCGGGGCTCCATCCCAGGACCCTGGGATCATGACCTGAGCCAAAGGCAGATGCTTAACTGACTGAGCCAACCAGGCGCCTCAGGGAAATTTTTCTTTTTAACTTAATTGGTACTGTTTGTGGTTCTTTCTTGGGTAGCTGACTGGTTATGCATTATTTTTTGTTTGTTTGTTTGTTTGTTTGTTTTATTCTTATGTTAATCCCCATACATTACATCATTAGTTTTAGATGAAGTGTTCCATGATTCATTGTTTGTGCACAACACCCAGTGCTCCATGCAGAATGTGCCTTCCTCAATACCCACCACCAGGCTAACCCATCCTCCCACCCCCCTCCCCTCTAGAACCCTGTTTGTTTTTCAGAGTCCATCGTCTCTCATGGTTCGTCCACCCCTCCAATTTCCCCCACCTCATTCTTCCCCTGGTTATGCATTATTTTATAGCAGGTTACACATGCTACCTTTTTATGGACCTATTGGTTAGTTCTCCAGCTATTCTTACACGAAGTACTCTGCATCTTTCTGTTCCCTGATTCGGGGGTGGGTGGGCTAGGATGAGATGCAGGCCTCACCTAACTTCTTATGAACCTCTCCCCTTAACTTCTGCTTCTACGGCACTATACCTCTAGTTTCCTTCTGCTTGTGTTTCTTTGATCTAACAGGAGACTCCTTTATAGTGTCCCCCAAAGGTGACTTAGCCATTATACTTAGAACTATATACAAAACAGACTGAATGGAGATGAACTAAATAATGGCAGTAATTATGTTAATTTAGGGGGAATTGAATAATTACTTTCCCATCTATTACCCAAAATATATTGTAATGTGGTTAAATTTCTTTTTCAGTAAAAAACAATATATGTATATATAATTTTTGTATGCAAATATATTAGTATATTTTGTATATAAGTATGTATGCAGTATTTTTGTATAATATACAAAATGTTTATGCACATATATTCAACATAAAAATACTATATAGTTTTTACTGAATATTTATACATGCACACACACATATACTTCTCTTTGTGTATATCAATATGCACACACGCACACACATACACACACTTATCTATGTTTAAAGCTTAAACTTACCTTTGTTCTTTCCAGAAGATGACATTGCTGCAATGTATTGATTCATTTTAAGACATGAACTACTTTTAAATATTCTAGATTAAAAAGATCTTTTAAATGTAAGTTCATTATTCTTAGATATGATGTCTGTGACCCACCCATTAAAAAGCCTGTTTTCCAGCAGTCCTAATCTAGAGAATATCTATTTTGGAGAGTGGTTGGTTCAAACCTCTCAATTTGAGCAAACTGCGTTTCAAGATAGAGAAGTGCTATGACAGCAAAACACAAACTCCAGGTACCATTAAGAACAAATTTAGTGGGCACCTGGGTGGCTCAGTTGGTTGAGCGACTGCCTTCAGCTCAGGTCATGATCCTGGAGTCCCGGGATCGAGTCCCGCATCGGGATCCCTGCTCGGCAGGGAGTCTGCTTCTCCCTCTCCCGCTCCCCCTCTTGTGCTCTTTCTCTCTCTCACTCTCTCTCTCAAATAAATAAATAAAATCTTTAAAAAAAAAAAAAAAGAAAGAAAAAGAACAAATTTAGTGAATTAACTACACTAAAATAGTACTTTTTCCATGGGGGAAAAGCCAAAATAAAATAAAAACACAAATGGAAAATACAAAATAAATACTTTGCAATTTATTTTGCAGAAAAATATTTATTTTCTTAATGTATACATGTAGCTTAGAAATAAATAAGACCAATAATGAAAAAAAAATTTTCCAGAAAGTGAAATATAAATGGCTGCAAAAAAAAAAAGAAAAGAAAAGAAGCCCAACATCACTCTTTTTAGAGAACTATAGACTCAAACAATGAGATAGTAGTTTTCACCTATCAGTCTGGCAAAGATAAAAAAGTTGGACAAAGCACTATCATTACCAGTACATTTCATTTTCATAGTCTAATAGAGGGAGTTTAAATTAGTGCAAATTCTTGGGAACTGTTTTGACAGTGTTTATCAAAATGTAAAATGCACGTACCCTTTGATTCAGACACTCCTGTTCTACATATTTATATTACAGGTATACATGCATAACTTGTATACACAAAAGATAAATACATAAATGTTCACTAAAGCATTATTTCTCACATAAAACGGAGTCTGGAAAGACCTAAATAGGGGTGCCTGGGTAGCTCAGTCTGTTAGGTGTCTGCTTTAGGCTCAGGTCATGATCTTTGAGCCCCCCAAGTGGGCTTCCTGCTCACTGGGAAGCCTGCTTCTCCCTGTCCCTCTGCTCTTCCCTCTGCTCATGCTCTCTCTTTCTTGCACACTCTCTCTCTCATAAATAAATAAAATCTTAAAAAAAAAAAAAAGACCTAAATGTCCATCAGAATAGACTGGTAAGCTGAACAATGGTACATACCTGCAATAAAATATTCTATACCCACTCCCCATCCTGAGCAAGTAAATAAATAAGTAAATGTACTGAAATGAGACAATGCTCTCATTTATGTCATCAAATATGCTGGTACATGTAGAGAACATTTCTGGGAATATATACCCACCAAAACTGGTAAAAATCATTATTACACCTAGGGATGGAAACCAGACAACTCAGGATTTGGGGTGGGGGGAAATTTATTTTTTCCTTTAAAAAAATTATTCTTTCCTTTTAAAAAAAGGATATAACCCCTTACACTGTTTAAATTTTTACCATAAATGTTTTCTTTCAATAAATATAACACACATCTATTTGCTGATGTAAACTTTGGCCCATGGGTAAGAAATGATGATTGGCCTGCCTCATAGGTGAGGGATTCTTCTTATGTGCTGGTAATCGTATTTTAGAACAGTCACTTTGTGGTGAATCAGACTGTTTGGAATGGAACCTGCTGGAGTCATGGATACTAGTTAGAAGGCTATTTCAGGGAAACTGTTGAAAGTTTGAGAAGGCCAGAACTAAGACATTGGGAGGGGGAAGAGGGAGAAGGGCTGAATGAGGGTGGAAAAAGGGTGGAGAAGTGTAAGGATCCAGAGCGTGGCTGGATGTGGGGCAGAAGGGGAAGGGCAGTCTATGACGATCCCTAAATTCCTGGCTTAGGCGACTGGATGAATGGTGTAATAAAATAGAAAGAGCATAATAAAATAGTGTAATAAAATAGAAAAATAGAGGAACAGTGAGTTTGGGGAAAATAACAAATGTCTCTCCTTCACCCTGAACTCCCTGTCTCAGGGGGTAGGGCATAGTCATGGGTAATAAATGCGTGTTTCAGGATAGGAAGGGGGTACAAGGTAGGGGGACAGTTCTTTTCAGCAGTGACAATAATTGAATCTCAAGAGAAGAGAAAAATCCCTGTGTGAATGATGAGTTCTGGAAGGAGGTTTGGCTAAATTAAAAAGATAATCATATTTTTGTTGGCACCAAGAAGAAAATGCAGAAGCAGGCATCAGTCCAGACCAAGATGATAGCATCTGATGATCCAGTGGGGGAAGGCTGGTTTTGCTGGAGAGAGTAGCCTTCAGGATGTCTTAGACGGCCTGATGAGTTACTGTGTCATAGGGAAGAAATGCTCCTCACCCAGAAACACAGAGAGGGTCTCTTTCTGGAGGTTTTATGTCTCAGCATCCCACAGTCTGGGTGTAACCAGGGTGGAGCTGGTTCTGCTAACCAAAGCAGAAGTAACGGAGATAATAGAGTAATGGAGGATAAAAATCAGGATTCCTGGTGTCCTGCGTTGGGTCTGCCACTATCTGGCTTTATAATCTTTGGCAAGTCAGTTGTTTGTGTTTATTTAAAAGCTTCCCCTGGGGGCCCCTGGGTGGCTCAGTTGTTAAGCATCTGCCTTTGGCTCCGGTCATGATCCCAGAGTCCCGGGATCCAGCCCCGAGTCGGGCTCCCTGCTCCGTGGGAAACCTGCTTCTCCCTCTCCCACTCCCCCTGCTTGTGTTCCCTCTCTTGCTGTCTCTCTCTGTCAAATAAGTAAATAAAATCTTAAAAAAAAATAAACTTTATAAAACAAAATAAATAAAAGCTTCCCCTGTGAAATGAGATAAAATGCGAAGCAAATGTAATTTTGACAGTTTATATAGACATGGAGCCAATAACCCAGACTTGAGAGGTATGGGAAGGCCTCCCAGAGGAGGTGATATACAAACTAAGACCATTCCTCAAATCTTAGTTCCTTTATATGTTAGGTCAGGTACAGAGGAAGGAGGCAGGGCAAGGGGAACCGATTTAGGTGGAGGGAACAGTATGAATACAAGCTTTATGCCAAGAAATGGATAGTACCTATGGTGATTAACATAACATAATAAAAAAGAAAAAAAGAAAAAAAAAGAAATGGATAGTACCGTCACAAAGACAATGAGTAATTGGATGTGGCTCCTAGAGCATAAAGAGTTGAAAGGCATTCACTTCTTTAGTTCTTTCACTCACTTTTTAAAGTAAATATGAGTGTTGACATTTTATAGAAGAAACTGAAATTCAGAATTGTTACTTGCCTGAAATCACTTACTCTGTAAATGGTAGTACAAATAGGATCTGTTTGCCTCAAATCCTGTGTTAACCATTACTTTTTACCACTTCCCCACATTAACACATTAAGATGGGTGGGGCTGGGGGGGCGGTGAGGAACAAAGGTATACCTTTCTCAATACATGCAGCACGTTACATTTTGAAAATCCCTTTGAACCTAAAGAAAAGGATCATAGTGAAAAACTGTAAAATGTGTGAGATGCTTTCAAACCGCAAACATTAGGAAGCAAAAGATATCCAGTAAAATTAGTTAAATAAATAAATGAATCACTAACCCTGGTTTCTTCTTGGTAGCTTACTGTATCCTTTAGAAACTGTCTCGCATTTAGGCATAATTGACCCAAGCTAAATTTGGTGACCTTGATTCTTCATTATAAATGTGCACAGAAAGCCACAGCAACTTGCTATTCTTTTACAGCTAATTCATTCTCAGCAGTTCCATTTTAGAAAAACCGTGTATGTATTCCAGAGACCTAATGCAGGTGTGACCTTTTCTTGAGCCCTCCTTCTCGAAGCACTTGCCACACGGTGTAGGTCATGCTTATTCATTCTAAGGTCTTTCTTCGTATTTGGGATCTTGCAGGTTCTTAACGATGTAGTTGGGTATGAATTTTATTTTTCTATCATGCTTAGAATTTGTTGAGCTTCTGAATATGAGGATTTCATCTGTCTACAAAATTCTTAGTCATTATTCTTTCAAACATTACTTTTCATCCATTCTCCCTCCTCTCATTGTCTGGCACTCCTTTCAGAAATAAGTCAGATAGTCTCAATACTATTCTTGAAATCTCAGCCTTCTTTTTGCATATTCTATATTTTCATCTCTCTGGTGCATCCTAGACTCATCTAAAATGATGATCTCTCCAGCTGAATCTAATCTATTGCTTAAGCCCACCGAGTTGTCTACCAGCAACTCTGGAAATGGCCTGCTTCATCCTGCGATGGCTGCTGGCCATGTCTCTATAGGTGTTTCCACCCTCCTGGCCTAGGGTGCTAGACCATGAGTGGGTGCATGACACAAACTGTGTCAGCTTGATCCCTTTCTCTTGAAATTTGGAATTTTATACTCTCAAATATTCAGTCTTGTACCTGTGGTCCTGAGAGAGTTTTTGCCTCAAGCCCAAACTCGGAGCTAATTGTTAGTGTATAGCTTAATAACATGTTTTTGCCACCATCCACAGCAGTAAAACTTGCCACCTGCTTCAGACAGCTTAGAGGCTTGTGGATAGAATTGTGGATAAGACAATGTGAATAGGCACCATAAAACTGGCTTTCTTAAGTACTAATTGGGGACTGACTTTATCATTTTAATAATAATAATGATAATACGTTACGATTTTTCATGCTTACTTTCCTTTTTTTATTTTTAAAGATTTTATTTATTTATTTGACAGAGAGCACAAGCAGGGGCAGAGGGAGAGGGAGAAGCAGACTCCCCACTGAGCAGGAAGCCCAATGCAGGACTCGACCCCAGGACCTTGGGATCGTGACCTGAGCTGAAGGCAGACACTTAACCGACTGAGCTACCCAGGCACCCCTCATATTTATTTCAAAGCAATTTTTATCTTATTATCTCCTCTTAACAATCCTGTGGGGAATGAAGGTTCTTTGTTTTGTTTTGTTTGCCATGTTTTCACATTTGCAAAAGAGTTCAGAGAAGTTAAGATACTTGCTCAGAATTGCAGAGCCTAGATCTCTGGACCTTTTGCCAAGAAGGGCTCTTTCAATACATGCATGTCACCTCTTGAAAGTACAATAGTTTCTCCTGAGGAAATACGTTTTCTCTTTCACCTTTCTTTTCCCCTTATCACACATGAAGACACACATGTAGTAATAGAATCCTTCGAAAGATTCAATTCATAAGAAACTCTCACTTAGGTGTTTCTTCATCCTACAGTGGTTAAGTCCCAGATGGCCTTGTCTGTATCCCTTGGCCACAGTTGATTGGACCTGTGTGGACACCTGAATCAATATAGCCTATAAGATCTTCTCTCCCAGGAATTGGAAATTGAATCTGAGAGAAAGTATGTTACTTTTTGTGGATGACTTGTCACAGAGACCCAAAAATCAGAGAGAAGAGAGAAACCCCAGGTCAACAGAGAGAGACAAAGACACAGCAGATGACAAGAGAAAGTCCTCAGGGCTCCAGTGTCTATGAACTGAATCCCTTTCTGCTACAGATGGAATATTTGTGTCCCTCCAAAGTTCATATGTTGAAACCCTAATCCCCATGTGATGGTATTTGGAGGGGGGGACTCTAAAAGTAATTGGTTCATGAGATAAGAACCCCCATGTATGATATTAGTAGCCATATATATAAAGAGACTAGAGAGCTAGCTCTCTTTTTCCACCAAGTGAAGACACAGCAAGGAAATGGCCATCTATAAACCAGGACCTTCCAAGAACTTGACCATGCTGGCACCCTGACCTTGGACTCCTGGCTTCCAGAACTGTGAGAAATAAATGTTTGTTGTTTAAGCCAACAATTTGGCCTAATTTGTTAGCAATTTGATAATTTGTTAGCAGCCCCAACTGACTAAGACATTTTCTGAAACAGCATTCCTATTCATTGGCTCCAAGAGAATATCACTCATCTGTTAACACATTTTTTTCCTTCAGAAACAGTAAAAAAAAAAGAGAGAGAGAGAGAGAGATTTTATTCATCAATATGGTGTTGCTAATGCAAAAATTTTACCTAGGAGAAGTTAAATGATTAGAACATAACTTTAGCTCTGTGTTTTCCATTTCATCTTTCTGAGGCATCATCTTGTGATCTTTCCTGGGTCTTGATGGTCTTAAATTTCCTCTCCTCCTCTTCCAACCCAATGACTTTATAGCTTCCTTGGTTGGATCACTTTTACTCTTGGCTGATGTTATCTATTAAGTTTGCTTTATTTAAGAGTAAATTCTTAAAATTTAAGACAATTCTATTATACAGCTGTATGAACCCCATTTTCTTCTTGTTAAATGCATTGATCTTATAATGAATGAAAAATTCCTTTAAAAGGAGTATTTTAGTTTTGAAGACTATAGATTACTTTATACTGAGATCCAAAGTTGTGGGCGACTAGTTACAGCCTTTGGAACTCAAAAATTCAAGCAATTAAGAGGCTGGAGTGTTGATAAGTTAATCAAGAAACATACTGTTAAGAATATGTCAAAGGATAGAGTTGAGTGAAAAGCAGTGATCAAATGCCAGAGTACACTAGGAGTTAAGTGATAGGGTACAGCATGGAAGATGTGGACTCCGTTAAGGTATATTGAGCCTAACAGGGAAACCTCTCACCTATTATATGAATTTGGGAGATTATTCTCCCAACATAATAGAAATTTCATTACTTCTCCTTCCATTATTCCCACACAAGTAGCCAATCACCTGTCTGAAAACAATGTTTAGGTTGTCAGAATGAGCAAAGAAGGCAGTTCAATGTAGTCATAAATTAGCATAAGTTGGTGCTACTTTCAAAGAAAATTCTGGAGGATGTCCAAGCTCATGATGATACCAAGGGCTCTCGATACCCATAGGATGTGATGTTCCTTGTGTGACCATCAGTTAGGAGCACTACAATACAATCAGAGCGGCACGTAACTATACAGATACACAGGATTACCCATGTGTGGTGCCTTGTAAGAAAAAAGAAAAAACCCTGAGGAATAAAGACAAAAGCCCATGTATTTGGTAAGCTGAAGATTAATAATAGCCATAATTAACCACTTTACATGTATTATCTCTATTTCTCCCATGATAGAGCAAAGTAAGAACAAATGAAATCATATAAATCCCAATGTTAAGTGAATTAACCAAAATGGCATAACTTTTAGCTGTGGATCTGGAACACTAAACCATAGCTATATGATTCACAAGCCCAGGCTCTTCCCACCACATTATACCTCTCAACTGCCAAGGTGATCCTCTGGTGAATCATAGCTCTGCATACCCTTAATTTGTTTTCCTGTTTATTTTTTAACTAAAAAACCCCACAAAATTTAGTTTTTCCATTATGACTGGTCATCTCTCTCTTCTTACACACTGCTATGGCTTAAAAATCCCCCCCAAAACCCTAGTTTGATTTTTTTTTTCCAGAAGTTAATCCAAATACACTCCCATTATCACCTGCCTGTCCTTAGTGTAACTTCTCCATTCACCAATTGGCAAATTCTATTTGGAGTCTAGTTTCTAGAAATGTTGTGCTGGAGATAAATTTTTTTTCACAGGGGAATTTTTTTTCTTAAAATTTCTTTCATCAAATGTGTCTATTGCCTGCCTACCTGATCTGCATAAGACAGCTTCTAGCAATTTTAGGTCATTTTTATATTCATTGGGGATGTTTATAACACAGGTCAACTTGGATGGTATGTTAAATAGAATGCATGCACCAATGGTTCTCAAACTTGGTCATGCATCAGGGAGGCTTATTAAAACACAAAGTGTTGGGCCCCACCCCCAGAATTTCTGATCCAGTAAGTCTGAGCTGAGGCCTAAGAATCTGGATTTCTAACAAGTTCCTAGGTGATGGTAATTCTGCCGGTTTTGGGACCACACTTTTGTATTTTCTGGTATAGACTTATTCTGATCTTACTGTAATTTTATTCTAACCTACAGCAAAGTCTGTATATATCCATAGATATCTTTAATTAAAAGACAAGAGAGAGTCTGAATATGAGAATCCTTGGCATTAATTATACCTGTTGATAATCTTTTTGATAATAATCATCACCCATTCAGCCTCAGGATCCAGACAAATTAATGTCCCATCTTTCAGTGCGACTCTGAAAAAAAAAAAAAAAAGAGCATTTTGGTTAAATGATAATTGTATATAATTCAATAATGCTTTAAGTTTATTGATTAAAATTTCAGCAACATGAAATTTAATGCTTAAAATGAACATATGGATTTATTTCTCAAACTACATTAATCAAATATTATTGGAATATGACTTTCAGTCATACCAGTGTACATAATGAAATTTTAAAAATCAACTAAAGAATAATTTTTTTCTTAGAGTTTTTGAGATATCAACTAATTAGCAAACATTTATTGGACTTATGCTACACAGGTGTTAGACTCTGGGAAATCTACATAAAGGTCATATCTTCCGGGTTTCCAGTTATCAACCACTTACTATACATTCTTTATCATCATACCTGTGCTAACTGTGTTAGCTTTAAGGAACTCAGTAAAGCCTCATTTATTATTGGGAGAGGGAAGGAGAACATAAATTGCTTATTTAAATTAATTCTGTAGTTTAAATTACTTCTATAGTTTTCAACTGTACTTCACAGAACCACAAATCTCTACCTCTGAAGTTCATTACATAAAGACCAGATCACAATAAAAATGATAATGATAATAATGTAATAATAACCCTTGAGCAAATTGCCAATACAAAGATGGCCACAAAACATCAAACATAATAGTGAAAACTTGAAAGTATTCCCTCTGAATGCAGAAAGAAGAGTGCCTGCCATCTCCACAAAGCTAGAGAGATAAAAGGCATAAGCTTCCAAAGAAGGAAACTAAACAGACATTATCGCCAGATGACTGGACCACCCAAGTAAAGAATTGACAGTTGCAAAATCAATACAAAATTTTATGTCTAAATCCTAATAACAACGGGAACATAAAATTTTATAAAGCTATTCCTTACAATAGCATCAAAAAATATAAAGTGACTAGAAATGTGCTTTTTTTTTTAGTAATAAAAAAGACACAGAAGGTCTTTATGGAGAAAATTACAAAACTTTGTTTAAAGACATTAAGGAAGCCTTTGATAAATTGAGAGCTATTTTATATTCTTGAAATAACTTATTCTTGAAATAACTTCTTGAATATGAAATAATTCATATTCTTGAAATAACTCATGACTATTGACATCACAAAGATGTCAATAATTCACAAATTATAATTTCAAAGAAATTCACTCAAAATTATAATTAAATTAGTGCAAATTTGCAAGCTGCTTCTAATATTTATATGGAAGAGCAAACAAAGCTCTAAGAAAATCCATTCTGAAGACGATGGGAGAATTTTCCTTTCTTAATGTCAAGAATTAGAATAAAATTAATAAGGATGGTGTACAAGTATAGACAATTTGATTAATGGGACAGAATAGAGAGGTCAGAAATATCCTTACACATTAATGGGAACTCAGTTTATGATAGAAGTAGCAGTGCTGGATTAATTGAGGAACCATATAGAAAAATAAAATTGTATCATTCCCTCACTTCACATACAAAATCAGTTCCACTTGGGTTAAAGTCTTAAATACAAAGGAAAAAAACTAAAAACTTTAGAAGACAATATAAAATATTTCCGTGAAGTCTGTGGAAGAAAGTTTTTTGAAACAAGACACTGAATGTGCAAACCAGGAAAAAAAAAGCATATTGCTTAACTCAGTATACTAATTGAAAGGACACCATAGAAAGAAGGAAAATAAGAACCACAAATTGGAAAATGAGCTTTGCTATACATAAATCTGACAAGCGATTAATATCCAGAATATATAAAGAATACCTGTGAGCCAATAGGGAAAAGATAGTATCCAAGGAGGAAAAGAAGCAAAGAAATGAACAGAAATTTCACAAAAGGAGGCACACAAATGCTTATAAACATATGAAAAAATATTCAACCCCGTTAATAATGGATAAATGCAAATTAAGAGAACAACTAAAGCATACCATTATATACCCATCAGGTTAACACCACCAGATATTGGCCAATATATGAAGCAACAGATGGTTTTATGTAGGAAGGAGTGTTCATTGGTACCTTAATACAGTAATACAATGTGGCATAACCTAGTAAGGTCAAAGGTGTGCAAACCTTAAACCCAGCAAGTAATTCCTAGAGAAACTCTGATATACATGAACCATATATAGAGAATGTTGATAATAGCAAAAATCTGGAAAGAACCCAAATGTGCACCAGTAGTGGATTGGAGAAGCAAATTTCATATTTATTGATTTAGTATTCCTCTGACGGGATGCTGTGTCATTTAAATTGAATGAACTACAGCTAAACATGTCAGAATGCATGTATGCAGAATAAAATATTGAATAATAAAAGAAAGTCCCAGAAGAATATATTCAGCATGGTGCCCTGAAGTTCAAAAGCAGGCTGTCTTATAGAGAGAGGCAAACCATGAGAGACTCTTAACTATAGGAAACAAACTGAGGGTTGCTGGAGGGGAGGGGGGTAGGAGGATGGGGTAACTGGGTGATGGGCATTAAGGAGGGCACGTGATGTGATGAGCACTGGGTTCTATGTAACTGATGAATCACTAAACTCTACTCTGAAACTAATAATACACTACATGTTAACTGACTTGAATTTAAGTTAAAAAAAAAAGCAGTTTGTCTTAGTTCATTTGGGTGCCTATAAACAAACAACAAACAAACAAACAAACAAGAAAACAACAAAACCCCCCACCAACTGGATGGTTTAAACAACAAACATTATTTCTCACAGTTCTGGAGGTTAGGAAGTCCATGATCAAAGTGCCACAGATCTGGTGTCTGGGGAGAACCTACTTCCTGGTTCATAGAGGGCCACCTTCTTACTCTGTTGTCACATGTTGGAAGGTTAGGGAGCTATCTGTGGTCTCTTTTTTAAGGGCATTAATCCCATTAATGAGTGATGAGGGCCCCATCCTCATCACCTAACCACCTTCCAAAGGCCCCTCCTCTTAATATGGGGTTGGGAGTGGGAACACACATTCAGTTCATAACACAGGCAAAATTGTAATTGCTTTAGATTTCATACACAGATGGTAAAACTATTTAAAAAGCAAGAAGCAACAGCTCAAATAGTAGTTATTTCTAAGCGTGGGGTGGGTATATGATTTTGGGGGGGTTCTATTAGTTTGCTAGGTCTGCCATAACAATATACCACAGACTGGGTGGCCTAAACAACAGAAACTTATTATCTCTCTATAGAGGCTATAAGTTCAAGGTCAAGGTATTGGCAGGTTTGGTTTCTTCTGAAACCTCTCACCTTAGCTTGCAGATGGCCACCTTCTTGCTGTGTCCTCACAGGCCTTTTCCTTGTGTGTGTGCATTCCTGATGTCTCTCCTTCTTATAAGGACACCAGTCATATTGGATTAAGGCCCAGCCTTGTGACCTCATTTAACTTTAAGCACCTCTTTAAAGGTCCTATCTCCAATTACAGTCACACTCTGAGCTTTTGGGTGTTAGGACTTCAACATAAAAAATTTAGAAAGGACACAATTCAGCCCATAATAGGTGTTTTACACGTGCAAGCTTCTGATGTACTAATTATGTTCCAGATTTTGGCCTGGGTGGCAAGTGAATGGGTGTTTATTACTGATCTTTAAACTGTATGTGGATATATTTATACAGTCTTTTGTATGCTTGTTAGGCAGAATTCTAAGAAGAACCACCAAGTTTTCCTCTCTGGTCTCCAGGAACATGATGAGATATTACATCCATGATTATGTCACATTACATGGCAAAGGGATTTTGCAGATGCAGTTAAGGTTACTGATGAGTTGACTACATTAATCCGAAGAGAGATGACTCAGGTGGGCCCAGTGTAATCACATGGGTCCTAAAGGCAGAGAGTTATCTCTGGCTGGTAGCAGAAGAGAAAGAGAGATTTGAAATGTGAGATCAGTTCAACATGGGGCAGATTCTCAGCTGCTGATACAGAAGGAGCTATGTGGAAAGAACTGAGAGTAATTTCTAGGAGCTGCAGGTGACCATCAACCAATGGTCAGAAAGAATCTGAATACCTCAATCCTATAACTGCAAAGAACTGAATTCAGCCAACAACATAAATAATCTTGGAAGTGGATTCCCCCCAAAGACTCCAGATGAGACTTCCACCCTGCTGACACCTTAATTTAAGCCTTATGAAACCCTGAGCAAAGAACCTAGTCAAGCCATTAGACTACTGACTTACAGAACTTTGAGATAAATGGGTTTATTTTATGCCACTAAGTTGTGGTTAACTTGTTACTTAGCAATGAACCGAAACAGTATGTATGATCCAGTCCAAAATTTTGAAAAGTTTCAGTAAAATTCAGAAATGTTCCCCCCAGCCTCTAAGCTCTATATTTCTAGGCTGACGCTTCAGAAAGGTTGTCAAGTCAGCTTTGAGAGCCACTAGGCCATGCTGGATTTATTGTGTTCCCCAAGTGTCTAATAGAGACATCTCGAGACAGTCAAGATTCACCCATGTATTCTCACTGAGGCCATGTATCTTTGCTCGTTGTACCTGTTCATTGACTTCAAAGGCCACTCAAATCACGTTCCCACGTGAGAGCTTATTCTTTTTGGAGAGGGTACATGATGTTTTCAGAAATGAGAACATGAGCACTGGACAGTGATTTTCCCACGCTGTGCATGAATAATGCTCAGAGCCCTGGTCTCCTGTCTTCTCAATCTAGCACATTTTTAATACAAATGTCAGCTTTGAAAAGCCCGGTACTAGAGGCTTCAGTTGTCCCCCACAACTTTACTACTCACATGATTTCTTTTCTGCTGCAGTAAGCACCTTCAGGTATCAATTGGACATTTGTAAAGAATTTAGGAGAAATAAAGTCAGAATGTGTCTGAATACACTGACATCGCAACTCTTGGTCCTCACAGGGATCGGCTGTGTAAGAAAAGAATGGCAAAACCCTGAGTGAGAACAGAGACAGCCCCATGCTTATCCTTTAATTATCAATACAGCAGGACCCTCAGTTCACAAAATAAGTACTGCAAGGGTTAGAGAGGCAATCACACAAATCTAATCATCTGCTCTATTTATAATCAACACACATTTACGAAGCATCTGCTATGAAGAATGGTTAAGTACACTAGACCAATAATTCATTGTTTCAAATTATGCCTGGTCAAAAAAATAACTTATTTCGTGGTAAAAATCAGCTTGATTTCCTCCTATGAAAAGTTGTAAACATAAAAATTTTAGGTGAATTCTATCAGTTGAAAGTGGCAATTCCCGGGTGCCTGGGTGGCTCAGTTGGTTAAGCGACTGCCTTCAGCTCAGGTCATGATCCCACAGTCCTGGGATCGAGTCCCGCATCGGGCTCCCTGCTCTGCGGGGAGCCTGCTTCTCCCTCTCCCACTCCCCCTACTTGTGTTCCCTCTCTCGCTGTGTCTCTTTCTGTCAAATAAATAAATAAAATCTTAAAAAAAAAAAAAAAAAGAAAAGAAAGTGGCAATTCCCATCTGCCTACCATCGTTAGAATAAACAAATAAATAAACCTATTTGCAGGAATGCTCCTGTGGTTATCTCTAGTAGGACAAGCACAGACCCTTACAGTTACATATCTTCTAAGAAGTTAAAATTTTTAAAATTACCTCAACAAGAAATTCTTTGACACTCCACAATCTAAACATATGTTCTGCTTAGGTTTTAATTTTACAGCTTTTCCATTTTGCTCAATGCTAAATAGAATCTCTAAGATCTGGAATCTTTGCTAAATTTTGCAAAGGAGAATATAAATCTTTAGCTGCTTTACCAAAGATGCTCAGGACAAGGACAGCCAGCAGGAGTGTCTGTGGGCTCTTGGCAGCCATGACTGCGCTCAATCTTGACCTTTGTCTGAATGGTGGAAACAAGGCAGCCCTCTTCTATGTGCCTTCTGTAGCTCTGAGAATTTTTTGTTGTTCGTGCACTCTCTCCCCACTGAAGAATGAAAGTAGCAGCTTATTAAGTAGTGTGCTTGTCACAAGTGGATAAGGAAATGGGGTTTGTTTTTCAAGCTTTGTTTTATTTGGAGGAGGGCTGAGGTTTGGGAGCAGGATGGAAATTTATTGAAAGGAGAGATGAACCTATTATTTCCTGGGGAGGGAAACTGCATAATCCTGAAGAGTTCAATGCCAGTTAGTTACCGGGGACTTAAAGAATGGAGTCAAAGGAATGCCTATACACTTTCTAAAGGTCATGCTTGTACAAAGTAAGTAATTAAAATGCTTTTTCCTCTGCAAGTATTTGCTTCTGGTGTTTGTACCTCTTTGCATAATTCCACTCAAGGTGATAATAGAATCTGCCAAGCTCCAATTCCACCTTTAAGTAACCTACAAAGAAACTGAAGTTCAGACTCTAATAACCCTTGTCCTGTCAAAAATAGCAAATTACAGTTTGCTTGTGGTTTGAAGGCAGCAGCTGTAATGGGCTTGAAGCAAGTAACAGTGAACTATGAACTTTTTCCTTAAGTAGTTTTATAAATGACCTTAATTATTATTCCACACTGACCACATTTTTTTGCATTAACAAATCAAATATCAAAGCATTGACGTTACTCTCCTCATGCTGTCATAACAAGAACCACAGCCTGGGTGGCTTAGACAAGAAAAATGTTTTGTCTTGAAATTCTGGAGGCTAGAAGCCCACAACCCATTCCAATGGACCATGGTGTTGGTAGAGTTGGTTCTTTCTGGGGCAGGGAGGGAAGGAGCTTTCCTTCCCTCCCTATAAGCCTTTCTCCTTGGCTTATAGATGGTTGTCTTCATCTTCACATGGTGTTCTCCCTGTGTGCTTATCTATCTCCAAATTTTCCCTCTTTATAAGAACACCAGTCATGTTGGGTTAGGGCCACCCTAATGATCTCACTTTAATTTGGTGGCCTCTGTGAAGACGCTACCTCCATATGTGGTACTGGAGGTTCGAACTTTAACCTATGAATTTGGGGAGTGGCTGTGGGGGGACACAATTCAACCCATAACAGCATTTAACTGAAGAATTAGTGCTTCTTTAAGGGCTGATATAGTTTGAAGGTAAACCTAGCTTAAATAAGGTCTTTTCTTTTGACAATTGTCATTGAACATCTGTTACCTGCCAAGGCCTTTGTTGGACATTAAATAGTCAAAGAATAAAAACTGAGTTTTTGCTCTTGAGGAATTCACAGACTGTTTGGAGACAAACATGTAAATAGACAAAACTAGAAGGTGATCTATGTTAAGTTAGATGTAAACCCGAGGTTCTCTGCATGCAGAGGAGGGGGGACTGGGAGGGGAGAGTGGGTGGGGGGGGTGGGAGAATTCACTGGGGAAGTCACATTGGAGTTGTTCAAGACGAAAAGAAGTTCATCACAGCTAAAGGCTGACAAATATTCCAGAGAAATGCACAAGAGCTCAGGTTTACAAAGGGTTGCTATGGTCTGAATGTTTGCTTCTCCTCAAAATTTACAGGTTTGAATCCTAAGCCCCAAGGTGATGGTATTAGAAGATGGGGTAATTAGGTCATGAAGATGGAACCCTCGAATGGCATTAGTGACTTTGTAAAAGAGACACCAGAACCTTGCCCCTCCTGCCAGGTGATACAAGACCAGTCTATGACACAGAAGAAGCCCTTCTTTAACCATAGTGGCACCTTGATCTCAGACTTCCAGCTTCCAGAATTGTGAGAAATAAATTTCTGTTGTTTATAAGCCACAAGTCCATTGTATTTTGTTATAATAGCATGGACAGACCAAGACAAAGGTCTTGGCATATTAAGAAAGAGAAAAAAGTGATTCCAATCTCAAAATCAGGTAAGTTTTAATAATTTGACAACATTCAATGGACTAATCAGATATTGGCCTTTATAGAAACCAAAAAGCTGCAGATCAGTTAGAAACACCATTCAGATGCAAACTTGATTTCTTTGAGTTTTATTTTCCATCTTTACCAAGTGAAATGCTGTGTCTAGATATTATGGTGAGAATAAGATAATACAAAGATGAGATAATCAACTATCGAAAGATTCAAAATAATTTAGTTTCCCAAAACTTCAAAAACAGGCTTAGACATCATGGCTGTTAAGGAATTTGTTAAAGAAATAGTGATAAAGATCCAGAGATCTTCCTTATCAAATGTGGGTCTCTCATTCTAGAACTACTAAAATCTCTGCCTGATCTGGAGCACAATTAATGTAGAATTGGATCTAGATTGTTTAAAATGCTCTGATTGTCAGCTTCTAAAGTTTTATAGATGATCTATTTTATTAGTTGAATTTTCACACACACCTGAGACCTGTACACACATGCAAGTCACCAAAAAAAAAAAAAAAATCCCATTTTTAACCATAATCTTATGTTTCTTTCTTCAAAATATTTACCTACCCTAACAGAGGTACAACAAAATATAATGGTAGTAACAACCATTTATTGAGTTCTGCTTTGTGTCAATACAACTCTATGACCTTTTTGTGTATTATCTGGAAACTTGACCAGGGATGTTTCTATCTTACAGATGAGAAAATCAAATATTCCAGGGAGGTTAAATAATTATGAAAGATTAAAAAGAGCTGTAAATTTTTAACAGATCCTCACTTCAAGAAGTGGAATTTATTTCCCAAACCCCTTGACCCTGTGCTGATATTGCTTTGGGCAGTAGAATGTGGTAGAAGTGATATGGATATTTCAAAACAAAAATTCCAGAACCCTTGAGGGGATATCATGCTGAGCACTAAGGAATGTATAGAATTGTTGAATCACTTTATTACTTTATTGTATACCCAAAACTAATATAACACTACATGTTAATTACATTTGAATAAAAAAATAAAGGGGAAGAAAAACGTGAGAACATTAGGAGCTTCTACTCCTGCCCTCCTGCAAAGCTGCTGCACCATAAGAAGAGGGCCAAGCTCATCCACTAGAGACATGAAGCCCAGCCAACAGCCAACACCAAGCACCACACAAGCGAGCAAGTCAGTCGTGCTCAAGCCACAGATGACTGCAGCCCCATGAATGACCCAGCAGAGACCATCAGAAGAACACTTCGCCCAAACTGATGACCTACAGGGTCATGAAGCGGGATGAAATGGTTGTTGCTTTAAGCCACTACATTTTGGGGAGGTGATAGATAACTGAGAGAGTAACTTTGCAGATCACATAATGTGGCTGAACCCGTTTTTTACTTCAAATTGTTTGGCTACAATATTCATCGTGCTTTCTTTAGAATACCTTACAGAAGCTTGTGGTATGGATGGACTACTAGCTATTATTTAGTACCCTGAGACGGGTTCTACACATTTTAGAAAGCCAACCCTAGAACAAAAACTAAAGAAATTTAATAATGATCTAGTTAGTGAAAATAGTCCTGTACTAAATATCAGAAAGCTGAGTCTTAACCCGTTGTGAAATAGGACAGTTCTGTGACATTTGGTAATTCCTTGGTGGTCTCTGAGCCTCCATAGTGTCATCTATAAAATGAAAGAATTGATTTTTTGTGTGATCTCTCAGGTTTTGTTTGTTTGTTTGTTTTGTTTTATTTTATTTATTTATTTGACAGAGAGAGACACAGCGAGAGAGGGAACACAAGCAGGGGAATGGGAGAGGGAGAGGCAGGTTTCCCACCGAGCAGGGAGCCCGATGCGAGGCTCGATGCGGGGCTCGATCCCAGGACCCTGGGATCATGACCTGAGCCAAAGGAAGATGCTTAACGACTGAACCACCCAGGCACCCCATGATCTCTCAGGTTTTGAACTAAACTCCTACCTGGCTGCTAAAAGATCGGTTCCCGGTTTTAGTGTGCAACTTGTCTATTCTTCTCCAAACTATATGGGTTTTTTTTTTTTTTTCAGGAAACTATTGAAAGCCAAAAAAACAATCCCAACTAATTCTCACTTAAAAAAGAAAATATTTGGGCGCCTGGGTGGCTCAGTTGGTTAAGCGACTGCCTTCAGCTCAGGTCATGATCCTGGAGTCCTGGGATCGAGTCCCGCATCGGGCTCCCTGCTTGGCAGGGAGTCTGCTTCTCCCTCTGACCTTCCTCCCTCTCATGCTCTCTGTCTCTCATTCTCTCTCTCTCAAATAAATAAATAAAATCTTTAAAAAAAAAAAGAAAATATTTATCAATTTTAATTTTGAGGACAGAATGTCAATAGGCACATCATCCTCTTCACAGGGGAAGATAAGGTCCTGAATGTGGGTTTGGTAGACGGTTTCCCCCCAGACCCATTTTAGGGCCTTACGGATCCAATTTCCAGGTTTTGACTTCTTCCCTGCCCCACTTCACATTTTCCTACCTCCTGATTCTCTGGGAATGTACTCCTTAATAAAATAGTTGTACACGAGCCCTAGCACTGAAATCTAACTTCTGGGGAATCCATCTGGGGAATCCAAGTGACCAAGTTCTCCTGAAAGCAGATATTGATACTGAGACTTGTGTGCAATAGTTTAGCTTGGAAAGAATCACAAGAGCAAGTGAGGGGTACCTGGGTGGCTCAGTTGGTTAAGCATCTGCCTTCAACTCAGGTCATGATCTCAGGGTCCTGAGATTGAGCCCCACGTCAGGCTCCCTGCTCAGCAGGGAGTCTGCTTCTCCCTCTCCCTCTGCCTGTCTTCCCCAGCTTGTGTACTCTCTCTCTGAAATAAATAAATAAAATCTTAAAAAAAAAAAGAGCAAGTGAAGGAATGGGGGAATGTGGGCTAGGGAAGAAAAAAAACACTAATAAGGTCTATGTAATAAATGGGCTACCACTATAAGATTAATCTTGCTATGGAGCCTCTGAGAAATCTTGTAAAATATTCCTCAGAATTGTCCCATTGAGACTTTCATTTCCAGCCATATTGAAATAAAAGGGAACAGTCCTAACCTCCTGCCATAAACAACTAGAAAACGTGATGGAAAACATTGAACAACTGCTCTTAGACATTGGAATAACAAGCAGCAGAAGACTAGGATCCCTGAGAAAAGGAAACAAAGAAGATTAGGTTCATGATCACCCTGGTTTTTTTGCTGGAACAATTCTGGATCATTGTGCAGGGAGGGAGATCCCAAGCAGAGCACAGTGATTTTGCTGAGTTGAGGAGACAGAGAATTGAATTCAGGTAGGTGGATGTTAAGCTGGAATTTCTGGGTCTTGGAGGGCAGGGAAACTGAGGTGACTACAAGTTATGGAGTAGGGTTGCAGAAAGGAGAGATCCACGGAGGAAAATAGAGCTCTGGAAATCCTCATTGAGGTTCCATTGGGTCTCTCTGATCAATACTAAGTCACATGCATAAGGTGAAAGTCCACCGGGTCAAGCAGAGAGTGGCCAGATATCTGTAAGCTGAGCAATTCTTAGACTACATGGGGTGGGTAGATGTTTGAGGTTGGACTTCTTAGAGTGAAGGCACGTTGTAAGCACTCAGGGCATTCAGCAGAGACACAGAAAGGGCATGATCTAGTAGTACAGCTAAACAAAACTTGGGGAAAAGAACTCTCTCTAGATCATCCTAATAAATCTTCCAAACAAGCCTACAAAAAGATCAAGCTGATTCTCCGGTAACTTAACAGGCTGCCATAACAGAGACCAAGATTCTAAAGGAAGAAAACAAAATCTTGACACTCAACAACATAAGATTCAGAATTTCCTGCATCCAATAAAAAATTACTACATATGCCAGGAAGAAAAACATGATCCATAATGGGGTGGGGGGGTGGAGATCAGTCAATAGAAATAAAAAGGACAGAATGATAGAATTAATAGACAAGGATTTTAAACTAGTTATTATAAATATGCTCAAGGATATTTTTAAAGAATTTATTTATTTATTTTAGAGACAGAGAGAGAGAGAAAGCTTGGTGGGGGAGCAGGAAAGAGAGAGAATCTCAAGCCAACTCCCCACTGAATGCAAGCCCAATGGGGACTGGATCCCATGACCCTGAATTCAAAATCAAGAGTCGGATGCTTAACCGACTAAGCCACCCAGGCACGCCAATATGCTCAAGGATTTAACAGAAAATGTGAACATAATGAAGAGAGAGGTGGAAAGCATATATATAATAAATATATTTATAAATAAATCATTTAGCAAAGCAATGAAATGAAAGTCCTTGTTAAGGTAGCTATAAGAATGTAAATGTTTTTGAAGAGATAAAATTGAGTAGCAAGGTAGAAAAGAGTTCCTCTTAAAACACACACCCACACGCACGTGCACATGCACACACATATAGTGTAATTTCTAGAATTGTCCAACCAAGGGACTGGAAAATAGAATATTCATCCACTAACTCCTGCCTCTCAATGAGCTGGCCTCTGAGGGCATTAAATCACAGGTCATCCTGCCTCTGAGCTAAACAAACTCTCTCTGCCTTTCCCCTCCTCCCCACGCCCAAATGGAGAGAGCCCTCAGGAAGAGGATCAGAAGGATAGATGAGCTTGAGTTGGGAAGTTGTCAGCAAGGATAGATGCTGTCCCACAGCAACTGTGGAAGTCATTGGTAAGTGAAGAAAATACGGAGTGGGGCATGAATGGTGAAGATGAGATAAGATCTTCCCCTTATTATTTGTGTGGGTAGTCAGAAAAAAAAGAGAAACAGTATCACCTGTTATTCTGGATTGCCCCATTATACTATCGCAGGTTTGCTACCTCCTCCATCCCCCAGGGTCTTTCCAGTCGTGTCTGGAAATCCTGCGAGGACATCTCAATAGCATTCAAAAGAAGGACTCATAATGACATAATAGGATCAGCCATATTTCCTCCTTTCTGGGTTTAGCTCCTTTGGTAACATTGCTCAAGAAACTTCAGTCGGTGTTGCCATTGCTATTTCCTGCTGATGACTTTTGGAAGTTGGGCTCTGTCACCCAATAACCTTTCCCCACTTCACTTCATGTCCACCACCTCACACACCCTTGTGTCCCATCTCCTGCCCTAACACTCTCAGTAAGAGACTGCCTTGTACTTGCCAAGTCTCAGGGCCATATGGTGTGAAAAGTATAGTACATATCCACTTGATCCAGGACAGACACTGAAACAATGTCCATGGAATTGGCCTGAGGACCAATGGCAGATTTCTGGAGCCATTGATAAAGTTTAATCCCTGCTAAAACTTCAGCAAGTGTATTACGTTATTATCTCCATTCTATAGCAGGGGAAATGAGGCTGGTGAAGTCAAGAAACATGCCCAAGAGCACACAGTCAACAAGTTATAGAGCTGGAACTTTGGGAATTTATCCAAAATCTATCTGATTCTTTGAAACCTATGTCCTTAACCACCATATGAACAGAACATCTCCTTTCTCCTTTCTAAGCTGCATGGTCCTTATTGACAAGAGCTCAGTGGCCAGTAGAGCAAGCTCAAGCCAGCGTTTGAATGTAAGGACTTCTCTTAGGTGTGAGGGTTTGACTGAGCCCTTGGTGTTCCCCTTATAAATAATTTCCAGTGTCCCGTGACTTGGGGTTAGGTTAGGGAGTGAATGCTGGAATTTGTGGAGCTGCTAGAATGGCTGACATTTACTTACTTCTGTACCATTCACAAATTTTCTTCCTTCTTATCTCATTGATAACTAGTAACATTAGAGTTATAAAGAGGTTACCATTTTTAACTTTATGAAAAAAAAGCTCACAGAGGTTGTTTCTCGCTACGTGGAGTCCTTATTTACCCAGCTGCTTGGGCAAACTCGAACCTGATCTCAAGTATTGAGGGGGCCAGCCCTGCCTTCTTGCCTCTGCTGAAGGCTTTTACCCAAGGCTCAGGATTTCCTGAATGAGTCCCGACTCAGGGACAAGCACACTCCGCACATCCACATTCTTCCTTTTCAGGTTTGGAGTGCGGTTTCAGATTATAGGGATCTTTCCTCTCTTTACATACAAATTTTGTTTCTGTCTTGGTGTTGGTATCATCCCGGGGCAGTGTTGAATATCAAGTTCCAAAGGACTTTCTCAGGCTAGACAATCTATCAGGTTCCAGAAAAACTGTGCCAGGAATGATGAGAACTAAGGCACTCAAATCTTAAAACTATTCTATTTGACAAATTGATATCAAGAATTGGAGTAACATTAAACTGAGTGTTGTTACTAATAAATAAAGGTTAGAAAATTGAACCCAAATGTCAATTAGATCTTTTCATAAGTGAAGTACTCAGCCACTCACTCTTTGTGTTTCTCTGAGTGACACAAATTATTTGAGTTTTGAAGGAAAAATCTACTTTACCACCATTTCACTGCCAGCTTTGTTAAATTGTCAGTAACTGAAAAATCATTTAGCAAAAGCAACAAAATGAGAGTCCCTGTTAAGATTGCTATAAGAATGTAAGTGTTTTTGAGGAGAGAAGATTGAGTATTAGTGTGGAAAGGAGCTCCTTATCAAAAAACAGCAATATATATCAGTGACTCTCACACTGAGGGGCCGAGCGAAGCCCACACTTTGGAAAAGCACATTCTTGGGTTTGTGAAACTCAAGGGGAGTGACAGCTACCGTCAGATAAAGTTAAGCATAAATTATAGTTCCATTTCTCTGTGTAGCAAACTGAATGTCCAGGAAGAAAATTTTTTTTAAAAGGTCAAGGAATATTGGTGTAAATCATCAGCTTGTCCAGTACAGATAGCCTTTTTCCCCTAAATGAAGCAAACATTTTTTTTTTTACTTTGAAGTACTTTATTTTCAAGTTCTTTGCAAAAACAACAATGAATATTTGAACCTCTCTGTTAGAAGACATAGAGAAACACCACGTAATTAACACTAAACAAGGCATTATGCCTTACAAGAAAGACATAAAATGTCCAAAGGATATTTAGAACATTGTAGTTCCTAAAGCTTCAACATGAGAAATGTTGACCACATACTGTGAAATTATTTCAATAAATAATAGCTGACATTCTTTTAAACAATTACAAAAATAGATGTACACATATATTCCTCAAACTGACAATGACCTCACTCTCTATTTGCTTGAACCCCCCTCTTGCCCCAGCCTCAGTCACAGTGGCTGGCAATGCTGTGGGCCCCTCAGAAGTATTAACTTAATGATTGGAGAATATTTGCAAGCCTTTTACCTTCAAATTAGATAAGAATCAGGGTTGAACTAAGTTGGGTTTAACATAAAATAAACAATAAAAATAGTGGTACAGTGCACAAATAGATTCAATTACATCCTAATTACTTTATATATAAAATATTAACATGGAAATCTTTGAAAACCAACCAACCAATAAATAAATAAATAAACAGAAGAACTCTCCTAGGAGATGCTCAAACATATTAGGCCCAGCGGAGGTGGCATTGGGAACGGATGATTCCTCTTGGGTTCCCGTAAGGGCGGGGCCTGATTCAGGTATTCAGCCACCAATCAGTTTCCTCCTTCCTCTGGTCAGTTGGAGCTGCCCAATAATGAGAAAAATGTCATCCTTAATAGCTGCTCAGGGAATCTGCCTGCACAGCGCTCTTCTCCTGTCTGACCCCGAGGTTCCAGAGTTTTCTGAATCTAGTTTCCCTTGCCTGGCATCAAAAGGCTACTCCCTATGTTGTGCAGCAGAGAACTCTAAGCTCTTGGATGCTTTTATTTAGGAATGCAGGTGGGGCCTGTGGGGCCTAACTGAAGCTTTAGATGATGATGATAATAATTAATAATAATAATAATTGTCCTTGAGTCACATGGCTAATAGGTGATAGAATCCAGATTTGTTCCCAGTGTGGTGTCACTACGAAGTGTCTGCTCTTCACCTCTAAGTTTAGGGCCTATGTTGCAGAAAACCAAGGGTTCTGATTTTCAGATGTGAAGTCTAGAAGGAATTGGGGAGGGGGGTGCCTCTGTTTTTTAACAGGTGGAAAACTTTTTAATATAACTGACCAACACCAATAAGAATTCTAATGAAAGCAGGTTTACCCACACTCATTTGCATGGGGATGGAGGGCACTGGAAATAGCCTTCTGGCACCAGAACAGATGAAGGATCTTACTAGCAGAGTTCATTGTGAAATAATAATGATTTTCAGTCCTTCAGCTAAACCCTGGGTTTCCTTGGTAAAAATGTCCGGAGGCATTTGTCAGGATGTGTGACCAATGACTCTAGTCCCACGTGTGGACAAAAAGCACAACTCACTTGTTTAGCATCTTGTTGATGATTTTCTTGACCATGGGGGCTTCGGGGTTGAGACAAACCTCCTGCCCATTCTTGAGAGTGGCTCTGCAGGGAGAAGGCAGAATCCGCGTTGGCCGGAGGTGGGGCTGGGCGGGGGGCCGGGGGGCATCGGGGCGGTGGGGGCCACAAGGACGCGAGCAGCCGCAGCGGTGTGGGGTGTCACTTACATGACTTCGGTTTGGGCGCAGTGGGGTCCCCGGGGCGTCACCTTGACGTTCTGGATGTTCTTGAGGTGAATTCCCTGCAAGGTCTGCAAGCACTGGCAGCGCAGCTCGGCGACCACGGGCGCACCTGCGGGGAGAACAGAGCGGGTTAGCGGACGACCCCAGGGTGGGCGCCCAGAGCACCCCCCCCCGCCCCCGTCCCGCCCGTGGGCTGGGGGCGCCGAGTCGCACCTGCGGCGCGGCGGCCGGCGGGGACCAGCAGCAGGAGCAGCAGCGCGGCGCCGAGGAGCCGGAGAGCGCGGGGTGCGGCGGCGGTGGCGGCGCGGGCCATGGGGCTCAGCTCGGAGAGTCGGGGCGGCGGGGCCTGGAGCGGGCGAGCTGGAGCGCGAGCTGGCGGAGCGGAGTCTGTGGCTCCCGGAGCCGGGAGAACCGCTTTTATCCCCGGTGGGCGCGGGGAAGTGAGCAGCCCCGGGGCCGGGGGAATTCCCGGCACCGCACGTCGCTTCGGGGTCGGAAAGGACAGCGCGGCCCCGCCCCCGCGGTGAAGGGGGACCCGCCCGGCCACCCGCATGTCCCTGCGAGTCGGGGACCTTCTCCTTCCTGCGGAGTCCCCATAGGAGGCGCGAGGGGCCGTCACGCTGCAGCTACAGCCTGCAGGGGGCGCCGTGGGCGCCCAGCGATCCCCGGTGGCCCGGCCAGGAGCCGGAGGCGGATCTGTGAGCCCCCGACAAGGGTGGCACCACAGCTTCAGAGGGAGAGTTATGTCTCTTTAGTTATCAGTTTTGGGGGGAATTAAGGACGGTGAGGGGGCAAATTTTGCTTAACTGTCTATCCTTTATTTCTATATATTCTGTCTCTAAATTTCGTTTTGCATATTCCATACACCTGAAATGAAGTCTGTCAAAAATAGCTTCTCAGATTCCAGAGAAGAATGTTCAACCTGTTTCTCTTGTATATTCTCAACTCACACTTAGATCATCTTGGTCATGTTTTCCATTTGGTGGGAATAAGGATCAGTGTCTAAAGTGGATTCCAGGGTTGATTTTTTAAGTGAGAGTTGACCGTAACATGATCTCTTTTTTCTGTATCCTGCTGCACTTCCTTCTTCCCTCTGAAATATTGGAACTCCCCGAATTCCGGGGAGATCTCCTTTTCCAAATGCAGGAGGGATTCAGATTTGATCTATGAAATACCGGACTGGCGGCCAGTCTGAAGCTGCAGAGGGGCTAGTCCCGCAGGCTCGCGGAATTCTCCCTTTCTGTTCCATCCCTGGACAAAATAGCACATGGTCCCCAGAGAGTGGGTACCTACTGTGTAACACCCTTGGTCCTGTTGTGTGCGGATGAAGCATGAACCGCCAATCACGCTCAAAATCCCGTTCCATTTACTATGGGGCCTTCAGTGTTCGTCCCCCTTTCTCTAGCAACAATGACATGTCTCTGTTTTCTGACTAGGAATTTCAGTCTTTGAACCTGACACCTTTACTATTTTTTCACCAGAAGCTTTAGAGAACTCTTACTAATTCAATATTAGGTATAGAGGGCTTAAGTGTAATAATTCTCTGGGGTGGATTCAGACCTCTTGGAGGCATGGAATGCGATAGGAAGCGTGGGGCCGGGGTGGGGGGTGGGGGGTGGGGTTGGGGTGGAAGGGGGAGCGGGAGGTGGAGGGGGCAGATGGCAATGGCTTCTGGCCCAGGTGTGGGTGTCTAGGAGCCAGGCTCCAGGCAGCCTAGTTTAGTGAATAAGCCTGCACGTAGTAGCGAAACTGCTTACCTCCGGTTGCCACCTTTCACCTGCAAGTTGTTAAACATTTCTTTGTCTACCCCAAGGTAATTATCAGAAATGAGTCAACATTTGTGAGAGCCAGCACAGATTAAGCGCTTTATAAATGTTCCTTAAGTGAGATAGCTTTTCCCAGCATTGCCGAAACAGAAACTCAACCTGTTGTAAATCCTTTCATAAAGAAAAAAAAATTGTAATAGAAAGGTTCACTTCCCAATTTTTCTCTTCACATTTAAAATTTTCTGTATTAGGAAGGCACATCTGTACTCTACTAGGAGACACCCTTACATGGGATTTTAAAAAAATTTTACTGTTGAGATCTGCCACTGATTTATTTTGTAGTCTTATTTTCTTTTTCTTTCTTTCTTTCTTTTTTCTTTTCTTTTCCTTTCTTTTTTTTGGTAAGATTTCTTTTATTTATTTGACAGAGAGAGAGAGCACAAGCAGGGGGAGCAGCAGAGGGAGAGGGAGCAGCAGACTCCCTGCTGAGCATGGAGCCCATGCAGGGCTGGATCCCAAGACCTGAGCTGAAGGCAGATGCTTAAGGGACTGAGCCACACAGGCGCCCCACTGTAGTCCTATTTTCAATCACTTCATCTATAAAAGGAGTTTGACCTACTCTCCATCTCATTGGTTGGAAAAGATTTACAAAATGAATGCCTACCTTTAAAGACATTCTAGCCTTTATCAGTATGATCCTGAGAGGGAAAATGAGGGAAATTAAAAGATTAAAATTTGTGTTAAGCAGTAAGAAGTGAGAAAAAGTTGTAAATATGTGGCTAGCTTATGAATAATTGAGTCTGTGTGGTTCTCTTCTCATTATAAATTGTTTTCTGGGATTTGATGGGAAACTGGCTCAAAAATCCAAAAATATTCTTTAAAATTTGAAAGATGTGTTGCTTTGTTTTTTCCTTGTACATGTAAAACAGGCTCATTTTATGAAGTTTATAGAATCAGAAAGGCATGAAGAGATTATTTTTCCTATAATCTCTCTTTTGTTTGTTCTACAGAACAAACTTTAAGAAAATCACTGAAATTCGCTGTTTTCTTCAACAAACATAGTAGGTAACAAAGATGAGTTTACAGAATTTGAGTAAATATGAAACAGGCCACTTCCTTTTAGTTGCCACATACCATGAGCAAATTACTAAGCCAGTGCACCCACCCCAACGCACAGCATGTTTATTTTGTGCAAATTGTAGGTGTTCTTCTAAGAGTTCTACAAATATTAACACATTCAATCTTCCAAACAACCCTGTGAAGTAGATATGGAACTTTAAGATTATCTTTATGGGGCTTTAAGTTTACAAATATAGAAACTAAGGTGAAGAGAGGTGAAGTAACTTTCCCAAAACCACAAGATGTTGAACCTGGGACTCAAACTCAAAGAGAATGGCTTTTAACCATTATGCTATGATAAAGATGCTCTGTGATATATGGTTAAGAATTTCTAGAAAGGAATGATTTAAAAAAAAAATCTGTTTTGTTTGGACACCTGAGTGGCTCAGTCGGTTAAGCATCAGACTCTTGATTTCTGCTCAGGTCATGATCTCAGGGTGGTGAGATCAAGTCCCACATCAGGCTCTTTGCAGTGCCTGGAGCAGGCTTAAGATTCTTTCCTCCCTCTCCCTCTGCCCTTCCCCTGACCCATGCACTCACTCTCTCTAAATATAATAATAATAATAATAATAATAATAATAATAATAAATAAAAATAATAAAAATTTTAAAACTTTGTTATTCCCCTAGCTGAATTTTTCTAATATTCAAACACAGCAAAACAATCTTATAGCTGCATAGTTTTGTTTCACTCTACAGCATAACTCTCCTGTTGTAACTTGTTCATCATATAGCTTGTTGTACTTTCTTAAACTGTCCAATTCTGAGAAACTAGTCACTTGACCATGCAGAAATCTGACAAACATCCCCTTAACTAAAGGATGAAGGTTAATGGTGTAATGTGGTGTTAAGTGGATATCATGTGCCTCCTGCTATAATGTGATGAAAGGAGCACTTCAACTCTTTGGTATTTTCCCCAAAAGTTCATAACTCTAGGCTAACCATGAAAAAAACATCCTTCAAACTTAAATTGAGGAATATCAAATAGCTGACTAGAACTCTTCAAAAATGTCAAGGTCATGAAAAATAAGGAAAGACTCAGAAACGGTCATAGTTCAGAGGGAAGTATGAGAGGTGACAACGAACAGTATGGTAACCTGAGATGAGTCTGGACCAGAAAGGACAGTGAGTGGAAAACCTGGTGAAGTCCGGGGGAGTCTGGAGTTTTCATTAATAAGAATGTGCCAATGTTGGTTTCTTCGCTTTGGCAAGAGTACCCTGTTAAGGTAAAGTGTTTGCAAAAGGGGAAACTGAGTGAAGAGTACAGGAAACTACTATTTTTACCAATTTTGTCAATTTAAAATTACTTCAAAATAAAAAGGTTGTTTTTTTAAAAAGTTGCTCTTTCTAAATCCATTTAGAATACCACCCAAATGAAATCAGTGGGTGTGCATGCTTTACTGTTAGCTTCCTAGAGAAAAAAAATGAATTTTTGTTGAGTTCATATTTGCTCAGATATGAAAATCTGAACTATCCGCAGCTCCAGTTTGGACACTTCGTCATGTTTTATAGGCTTAAAGAGTTTGACTTCAGCACCAATCATGCTGTGCAAATCTCTCAATTTCATGTAATTAAAGAAAAACAGAAAGCGTTTGCTGTAATGATCTCTAGACCCAACCCAAAACTGACGTAAATGAGGGCGTTCAGGGATATCAGAACTCCAACTTATCTACAGAAGCTGCCAAAAAATGGGACCAAATGAAGCACGTTAAGAAGCAGTTAACACTTGCAGATTGTATAGAATTTGACTTCCAGGAAGGACTTCACATCTCTTGTTTTTTGGAAATGAAGTAAAAAGGAAAGGTTTCTTATTGTTTGTTATTTTTTCTTTAATATGCCACTTAAATCCATGAAATCTTTCTCAACCAAAATGCAGAAATGTTTATAAGCACAGGACTGCTGTAGCCTACTACAATAAACAAGTTCAATCTCTTGTTTGAACATGTACCTCTCCAAGCTGATTACTTCTGCAAGAGTTAAACACCAAGTTTTTTTGTCTGTTTGTTTTTGTTTTTTAAGATTTTATTTATTTATTTGAGAGAGAGAGAGCTTAAGAGCGGAGAGGATCTGGGGCACCTGGGTGGCTCAGTCGATAAGCGTCTGCCTTCAGGTCAGCTCATGATCCCAGGATCCTGGGTTTGAGCCCCCCATCAGGCTCCCTGCTCCGCGGGAGGCCTGCTTCTCCCTCTCCCACTCCCCCTGCTTGTGTTACCTCTCTGGCTGTGTCCCTCCCTGTCAAATAAATAAATAAAATCTTAAATAAAAAAAAAAGAGGGGAGAGGGTCAGAGGGAGAAGCAGACTCCGCACTGAGCAGGGATCCCCATGCGGGACTCGATCCCCGGACTCTGGGATCATGGCCTGAGCCAAAGGCAGTTGCCCAACCAACTGAACCACCCAGACGCCCCTGAACACCAACTTCTTATGCACATTCTTTAAGCCAGTAGAAGCAACAACTCCTAAGGAAATGGAAGAGCCTTTTAAAAAGGGATGCTTTGGTGGTTAAATTCCATTTGCCCCCTGTAATTATTATAAATCTTTCGGAATTGACAATTAATAAAATCCAGGACGTTCACAGCCTCTGGGCTCACTGCTTTGCCCTGGTCATGACAGCAGCAGCAACCAAGCGCACGCAGGTGTAAACTTACACCTCCTCCCCTCGGCCGCACCAGGTGACTTC